AGAGAGATGGTTTGAGACCCACTTGAAATTTACTATAGTGGTAACCTGTTCTATGTGATCGGAGATCCCGTGAAGTAGAATGGTGAAACAAGCTAGTAGTAAATTATGAGGAAAGATCCTTAGTAAGACTTATTTCCGATGCACATCTTTCCTATCTGTAAGGCAAGTTGGTTCTTACCTTAATGTGTTCCAAGCGGCTTGCTAAAGCAAAGATATTGTCCTACATAACATCTTTTGAGGAGCACCCCTATATGAGTCAGGTTGCTGGTCACAGTCTATGAAATTTGGGTGATCTCTAAATACTTATGAAAGGCAATGGAGTATGACTTATATGCTTCAAACAGAGGGGATGCCTTTTGCAGCCAAGTATCAGCTAAGGACTTTAGTGACATTTACCTCACACAAAACTGGCAATTCAAGGTCTAGTACATTGTTCAGTTGTGACTGAGTGAAACTATTGCTCTAGATGGATGTTCAACTTAACAGTCTCCATCGAAACACTGGTATATAAAAGAAATGTGGTTTTGAGACTATTTTGTTACAAACCCTAGAGTTTGGTGAGGATTATTGGATATAATATGGGCTTGACCCATATAATATTTAATAAATCAAATAAAACTCTATAGGACGTAACATTAAGTGTTGTATGATTTAATATCATACGGGATTTTGGCTGAACGTTGACTCAGCTTATATGGTTGGAAATTATTCATCTAAATTGAGAATCTGATAAAAGGATAAAGGCGTGCCACACGCGCGCCGCCGCCGCCGGCCGGGTCGGGCCGTGGGCGTGGGCCAGGCCGGGCCGGGCCGAGGCCGTGGCTAGTCTTTTGCCACTTAATCCACATAATCACGGGAGTTACTCCCTTTGATGGTGGAGGCGAACTGATTGCGTCAGTTACCGTCCTTTCTGCTTCCGTTTCTCCGTCTCCTGGGATTCTCCGCTGCCTCTCCCTTCCCATCGCACCTATATATTTGAGTCCGTGGCCGAGGCCGTGGTTAGTCTTTTGCCACTTAATCCACATAATCACGGGTGTTACTCCCTTTGATAGTGGAGTCGAACTGATTGCGTCAGTTACCGTCCTTTCCGCTCCCGTTTCTCCGTCTCCTGGGATTCTCCGCTGCTTCTCTCCCTTCCCGTCGCACCCATATATTCGAGTCCTCCATTAGTCCAGATCTCCGTCTTCCGCAACCACTCCCGAGAGAAAACCACATCTCAGCAACCTTCTGGTTTCCCCGTCCCGTACCTTTGCGCGCACGAGAGAGCAGGTGCCTCCGAAGCCCTCGCCCGTCTGAGAACCCTGCACAGGGTGAGCGACGATTAGGTTTTTGAGGAGCGATCCGTGACTGCTCATCCACATACGTCTTCTTCCTGGTGATTGCCTACGGAACATCAAGGCGTCTTCTTCCTGGTGATCCGTTTGTGGGACTGCACTGCGAACATCGTCCTGCATCGACTGTGGTCCGCGACTTCGAGCAACGCACTATGTCGACTAGTGCGAATGGAGCATCCGATGCCCTCGGCATGGGACCCTCCGCTGGGTACACCCTAATCTCTGTGATTTCTGTACTCGTTATTACTGTATTCATTTGTATGTCATCTCTGTATGCTGTAGCGTTCGTTAAAGATATACACATGCACATATATGCCATCACGAACCTGCTGATATTATTTTTCTGAATTAAACTGATAGTGAAAATACCTAAATTTCTAACCGCCTTTCGGTCCTCATCAGCTTAGGCTTCCTGGAATGTTAGCAGGACCATGCTTCTTCTTCTATCGAGTTGTTCTTCCACTTTGCCGTTCGTCAGATTCAGTCTCTCATAAAAGAACTGTTCGGCGAAGAAGGTAGTACAGTGTTACACCGCAAGATGGAATCGCAATCACCGTCCGTGTGTCCAATTGGGACAGTGTTGTGTTCTGACCAAGTCATCAGATCCTGCTTGAGTCAGGACTCAGGACGTCAATAGTTTTCACGTAGTACCGGCCTACCGGGTACCTAGTCCAATGATCTTCAGAGGAAAAAAAGGGTGATGAAAAGGGGAAAAAAGGGGTGATGCCAGATGATCCGGGCAAAGGCAAATACCCCGTGTACAGTGATGCGTGAACAGTCTCCTGATCTAGGTGCATGAACAGGGCCAAATGAAGACCAAATCTGGAAAGTTGAGAGCTTAGATTTGGAAGGGCACCAGAACCTACTGTCGGTGATAATGATCTCAAGCATACTTTATTTATTATTATTTTTTCTTTTTTAGAGAAAATAAAGTGAAGATATCACAAGCACACTTTGTAGAAAGGAAGGAAGAGGCTTTAGTTTCATAATGATAACGGATTCTTCAGAACAAATCACATGATGCCACAGGCATATATAGGATCTGAAAAAATGTTGCCAACTCTTGTAGCCTTAAGAAGAGTAAATTACTACCTACTCTAGTTCATAATGCATGCATGACGTGAGCCATGATTCAGCTCAGCAAGTTTGATTTCCAACTCTGGGAATGGAGGAGTCGTGAGTTTGACGGTGCAGGTTACTGTCTTTTTTGGTCTGCAAGATAGGAGTAGACTGCTAAAACTTGCCAAGGAACAGAGCCATGATTCAGCCCAGCAAAAGTAGACACATGCATTAGCTCAAGTGTGGTCACCGGTCATAATCTGTCAGTCACCAGCAGACAGGATCACAGCACTGCCCTGTTCGTTTGGACTGGTTTGGCTTATAAGTTATGGCTGAAAGTACTGTTGGCTGGTTTGGTGTGAGAGAAAAATACTGTTTGTTGGCTGATAAGTTATGGCTTATAAGCCAAATACGACCAAATGAACAGGTATACATGAAAATACTCTCTACCTAAAAAAAACAATTCTAGGTCTTGTTTAGATGTCATCCAAATTTTAAGTTTTTTCACTCTCTCTCCATCACATCAATTTTTAGCCGCTTGCATGGAGTATTAAATGTAGGTAAAAAAAATAACTAATTACACAGTTTAGTTGGAAATCACGAGATGAATCTTTTGAGCCTAGTTGGTCCACGATCGGACAATATTTGCCAAATAAGACGAAAGTGGTACTATTCATCAGGTTAAATTTTTTTGCAAAGAGAACAAGGCCCTAGGTCCTATCCAAATCAAATTATTTTAACTTTGACTAAATTTAAAGAAAATAATAGTAACATCAATCACTTGTAATAGGTATACATGAAAATATATTCCATGACGAATCTGATGATATATATTTACTATGCTAATTATTATTATTATTTATATAAATTTAAGAAGGTTTGATTGAACATTATTCAAGAATTGTATCTTTTCTGAGACGGAGTTATTATTTTGTTCCCCAAATATGAAAAAGGTAATAATAGCAGCATTGATGGATAATGATGATCAGCTCACAGAAATGATTGGTAATGGTCCTCTCTTATTGGAAACTGGAAAAGACATGAGTGACATCCATCACCGACTGCTTTTCTTTCTCATAAGAAGAAAAAGGTAAACAATTTTATTCAACTTAAGTACTGTATATGATAGCAAACAGATTTAGGAGTATTAGGTTTTGTATACGTAGCTTGTAGGCCACCTTTTCTTAGATAAGCCATGAATAAGAGTATTAATCATAAGCCCTTTTGTGGCAGCATGAGCATCCTGGATTCCTGGCCAGCCTTTTTGTAGGAGCTTCAATTTTTTCTCTTGGGTGAACTAGTTTCAGTTTCCAAATAGATGGGAACCTTAATTTACCATTTCTCCAATGGTCCCTGTAATAATCTCAGAAATACGGCGGGGAAGATTCTAATCACATTCTACATCCAGTCATAATTGGATGATGTTTTCGGCTGGTATTAAAGCCGGCTGATAAACCGGCTGAAGCTGATTTGTTGTGAAAGAAAAATATTGTAGATTTTAACTGATAAGCCGGCTGATAAGTTCAAGCGAACATTTGCTATCAAAAAGGCAAAACGTAATCTAATTATGACATGGTCAGCAAGTAGTGGAACACAACACAATTCTGTTGACATCAATCTGAAGTTGTGAACTAGTACAATCAACATTTTCTTTGGGAGATTCAGGAGATCTTCAAATGGCAAACAAACTGCATATATATATAGGCCCCGTTCGCTTGTCTTAAATTTGGCTTGTTCGGCTTATTTTTTCAGCCGAAACAGTGTTTTCTCTCACAACGATTCAGCCGGAACAGTGTTTTTCAGCCAAAGTTCAGACCAGCGAACGGGGCCATAGTGAGAAAGAATTGCGTCACTTGACAAATCTCAATCACCGATCAAATTACACTCAGCCTATATCAATCAAACAGAAAGGGGAAAAAAACTGACTTAATCAGTCAAGGGACTGAACTGAACAAATCTCAAATTTGCTATGACTAATTAATTAGGCATCGATCTTGATCTAAATCAAGTCGGTCAAGTCTTAATAACCAAACTCCATCGGTACTATTACTAAACTACATATACATACATGTAGAAGACCCATCATATCAGCCGATCTCAGGCTTGCCACAATTCTCTGAAAAATCCAGTCAAAACCACAGAGAAAGTCAAGTCAGTGATGAATTTTTTTGAATTTTATACTTTATAGTAAGTGCATGTAAGGCCGTGTTTAGTTGTAGAAAGTTGGAATTTAGGGCTACTTAGCACGTTCATTTTTATTTGACAATTAGTGTTCAAACATGGACTAATTAGACTTAAAACGTTCGTATCGCAATTTCCCATCAAACTGTGCAATTAGTTTTTTTTTTCGTCTACATTTAATGCTCCATGTACAGACCGCAAACATTCGATGTGACAGGTACTCTAGCATTTTTTGGGATTTTGGGTGAAACTGAGCACGCGCTAAGATGAAGAAATTTGTAGCTCTGTGACAGAGCTATCCAAAAGGATCTCCAAGAGATCTATGGGCGGCGAGCTTTTGAGTTTGACACGGATGGATGCAATGCATGTGGTTGAGTGTGAGCAAGAAACAATTGTCGAGCATAAAGACCCGACGGCGACAGATTTTCACATCACATCCACATTCACATTCTGCGGCGTACCGTATTTTTTGTGCAGGATGCCGTCGGCAGGCGACGCCGCCGGCACGGTGGGCGGCGGTGGCAGCGCCGGGTTCTGCCGCTGGTAGAAGCCCATCGTCGTCCCCTGCAGGCAATGCTGCTGAACCGTGTATGGTGGTGCCACCAAGGGCGGCGGCGGCGGCGGCAGGTGGTGGTCGACGGCGAGGTAGCGCGCGTAGAGGTCGGGCAACGGCGGGCCCTGCACGGCCGGCGGCGCCATGAACGGCATCCCGGGCATGGAAGCCACGTGGGGTGGAGGCCCGGCCACCATCCGTTGCATGTACTGGTGCACCCCCGCGGGGAACACCACCGGCGCCGCTGCCGCCGCCATTCCGCCGCCCATCCACATCATCTGCGTGCGCCGCGACAATGCAAACGTCACACGTCGGTCGATGTCTCGTTCTTGGGTAGCTGGAGCTTGGTTTTGGGGCGACGAGGAAGGAAGGAAGGAAGGAAGGAAGCCGAAGCTCACCTGCAGCTGGAGCTGCAGCGACTTGAGGTACTCGATCGCCTCGTCCAGCATCGACGCCTTGTCGGTCTGAAGAATCCGACGAAAGAATTCATGCAAGAGAAGAAGATGAAATGAGATCAGATCACATCGCGAGGAGATGACGAACAGAGCTCCAAATCTAGCTAGCTATATGCGATTACTTTGTTGCAGTGAGGTATGAGTTCCTGCAGGGCCTTCATCTTCTCGTTGATCCTGTCCCTTCTTCTCTGCACCGGAACCGGATTCAGATGAAAGTTTGCAATGGCGGGCCGGCCACACGAAATCAGAGAGAGAGAGAGAGAGAGAGAGAGAGAGAGTTTCTTGGAGAGGGTCAAAACTCAAAGGGGCCCTACCCGCTCCGAGAGGTTGTGGACTTCGGCGGCGCGGCGCCGCTTGGCCGTCTTCATCTTCTGCGCCGGCTCGCACGTGACGTCGGTGGACTCGAACTCCACGTCCTGCATGCATTCGCGGTCGTCATCGATCGATGCAGCGGTGTGAAAAGACTGCGGCCGGGCAGGCAGCGGCGGGGAACGTACCTTGGCGTCCGTGGCGTCGCTCTGCTTCCGCTTGCCGCTCCGGTGGGCGGCGGCAGCGGCAGCGCCGGGACCGGGATGCTCACTCTTGGTGGTGCAGGACCTGGACCGCGTCGCCGACGAGGTGTCCGTCGCGGCGTCGCGGGCCCTGGCGACGTCCTTAGCGGCCCCTGGCGGCGTCGTCTGCACGTGGTTGCTCCCGCAGAAGCTGGACCCGATGGTTAGCATGGACGACTCGCCGCCCTCCGTCGCCGTCGCCGTGGCCTCGCAGCAGCCGGCGGACGTCCTCGCCGCGGCACCGTCTCCCGTGCACGCCTTCTCCTCCCGCGGCGCGTGCGCGTGCCTCGGCAGCGGCGGCGGCGGCGGCATCATCCCGCTGCTCTGGCGCGCGGCCTCGCCCCCGCGCTCCGCCTCCTCCTTGCAGCACGCCCCCCTGCCGGCGTCGACGGCCGCCTGCGCCTCTCCGAAGAGCTCCGCGAAGAGGTCGTCCCTCTCGAGCGGGTCCTCCACCGGGTACTGGAACCACGCCTGCGCCGCCGACGCCGCCGCGGCTTCGTCGTCCTGCACCGCCGTGGCCTTGTCGGGCCTCGGCGGCTTCCGCAGCGCCGCCTGGCTCTGCATGACCACGTGGCCGTTGCACCACAGCAGCTCGATGAGCCCGTCGTCGTCGCCGCTGCAACGACACCACGACAGCGCACCGCGTCAGCCATGGACGGAAAAAGAACGGGAGTAAAAAAAATGTGTCTACCCAGCGGTCGGTTGTTCCGGGTGCATGCCGAGTGCTGGGCGGCACACAAACACTCGAATGAGAGGGGAACAAAAATCCTGTGTTTTAACTCCACCAAACACTCGATTCATCCAGGTTAAATAGATCAAAAAATTATCCAAATAATATAAAATATTAAATAAACAAAAAAATTAATCAGATTATTTCTATGGAAGCCAAATTAGAAAATTTCAAAGAAAAACCAAATAAAACATATAGAAAACAAAAAAAGGCCAAAAATTAATCATCTAACTATTCGAGTAATTTTCACCATTTTTATTTATGAATAATCAATTTACACCAATTAAATACTTAACGAAACCAGTATATGAATACATACTCCTAGGGCCTAACGCTGTGCGTGTGCCAGCAGTCGCATGATGTGCGTGTGCTGCTTGGAAGAGCGGTGCTGCATGCATCGGTACCAGTGAAAGGCTATCTGCTGGCTGCTGCTGTACACTGCTAGGATGGAGATCGATGGAAGGCAGCTATAAAGATTCCGTGTGGTGATGGTGATAAATCCCAGCCCCAAGCTAGCAATCGACCGATCAGCACTACCGACAGAAATCGAGTGAGCGGAGATCAAAAAACACTCGAGTGACACGTAGATTTACTGAAAAAAAAGGAGCAACTTTGTTGGATATCAGGATATGATCGGAACCAACCCCAATGGCGCGAAGGTGTCGCCCATGGCGCCGCTCCAATCTGAGATGTACTGGTTCATGGCGCCTCACTCGGAGCAGCGCATCCCAGTCCCACCGAGCACGGAATCCGACGCTAGCTCTCCGTCGACCGCTGCACTGAAGGAGAAGCACAGGGGACCTGTCAATCGAAAGAAAGAAAGAAAGAAAGAAACGGAGCTGGATCGAAAAAACATATGATGGTTCAGTTTGTTGTGTGTGTCTATATATAAGGACCGGGGAAGGGGGGGTGGGGGGGTGGGGTGGAACACACACAAACACAAACCGAGGTGGGCAGAGAAAGTAAGCAAGTACAGAAGGAGCAAGAACCTGATGACTGTGTTATCCGCTCCTGGAACCGCAAGTCTGGAGCTGGATTGGATCTCTCGCTGCAGTGCAGCCAGAAATGAAATGAAATCTGCAGCGCAGAGCCTCTCCGTGCCTTGCCTAGCTGCCAGATGCGCTATTGGCTCGATCGTTTCTCTGGCTTATAAGCCGACTAATACTGTTTTATTATGAGAGAAAAACACTACATCATGATTGATAAGCATGGTTGCTACGATTCAGCGAACAGGTTGAGAAACAAGAGCCAGCCAGGGGTTTGTTGCAGCAGGGCAAGCCGGCCGGGCAGGGGCCTTTTAACGAGGGCAAGAACAGTGGCGGTGGACGGACGAGCTGGATTCTCCCGGGTACAAGTAGGCCGGGCCAGAGAGCGACGGGAAATGGTTATCGATCCGTGGCGTTTCTTCTTTTCCACAAGCAAGCAGAGCTAGCGTCGCCTTTGTGTTGTGTATGTGTATGTACCCCAGTGTGTGACGGCACTGCACTGCAGTGCGTGCATGTCGGACTCGCTCGCACACGAGCGCGTAGTCTACTCTCGCTCCGATATCCAGCGCATGCACACGCACGCTGAGCACATGTTTTCCGTGTGGTCACGCTGATTTATTTGCCGTATCCGTATGGGCTACTGCATGAACAGCCATCTGATGCATTTTTTATTAAGAGACGTGACTCCGAAGCATTTTCTGTTTTCAGTCTTTTCTTCAGCTTATTATTTATATGCGCAGTGGCGGGGTCATGAATTATATATAGGTAGGGCAAGATAAAAAGATTATTGCAAAAATCAAGCGCAACTCAATTGGTTAGGTTCCTCGCAGTGACCGTGTGAGTTATTTTCATCGACTTATTTTCTTATATATGTATTCTAGGATTTAAGGCGGTATTCTTTCAGTGGTAGACAACATACCCGTTGACAGTAGGCTCTACGATAATTTCGTAAATCTCAAGATATACTGGCCTAGTATTTCGGATATTGAATGATTTTATTATGTAGTGCCTTTTATTATATAGTTATTTTTTATATAATTATTATCTAAAAGATATTAATAGATATATATGACAAGAATTTTGTTATATTCTCCCTCTTAATATAAATATAAAAATTAAAAAGTTATACTAGTAAAAAGTCTTGGTGTGATATGTTAGGGGGGCATGTGCCCCTCTTGGCTCCGCCACAGGAAATATCCAAAGTAATCTGGTTGCACAGATTGTTATTGTCGTGGTAGTTCGCTGTATCGCTGCTCTTATAACTCTTGCAGTGTGCACGTGGTGCAACAAGAGAAGTGTCAACAAGGCCGGGCGGTTAGGGTTGCGACGACGGCAGCAATGGCATCGTCAACGACGAAATCGGCGAGGACTACGTTAGGCAGAAGGATGGGACGTTCTAGCGTCATGTCTATCAATTCTTCTTTACATAATTAATTATCTCTATGTGACAACGAATCATGAGACAAACTAAACAAAGTAAATTAGGCTGGCTCGTGGAGTATTACTGGGTTGACTGAGAGTTTGGCGAAGCTTCAGGACGGCTGCACAAACTTTGGGGGCAGATTGGATGAGCCTTCACATGGAAGAAATATCTAAATAGGTCGGGATCGATTCCTAGGAAGGCTTCGCGCACACGTGAGCAAAAATAGCGATTTTGGGTTATTCCGTTGGGATTCAAGTGGACAAGTTGGATGTTGTAGAAGCGGAGAAGCGCATGGAGAAACTTTGAAGCTGGAAGACAAAGACCGTGCTGAAGTTGTTAGTTTCTTACTGAACTCTATTTTAATGTAAATAAAACAATGACACGGTGTTTTCTAGTCTGGAGTAAAAAATCTTGGTGTGATATGTTTGGGGGCACATGGCCCCTGCTAGCCCCCCTTGGCTCCACTACCGTTTTTTGCGTAAAACTAGAAACTTTGCAGGGAACCTATCCATACCCTCCTTTGCTCGCATGAATTTTGCACTCTTTTTTGGTACATCATATATAAAGATTCTTTAAATAAAAAAGAAATAATTTTTTAATGAATTTCATATAGCAGTAATTGTTTTCAAGTGTATTATACCTAGCACATTCATTCCTAGTCTCAGTAAGAATTATAAGAGTCATACTTAATATTTGTGGAGAACTCCTTTATTTCTCGCTCCCCATTTTGTTTATCTTTCATATAAAATAGTAGCCAACTAAAACCTGTGTTTCGGTGTCTAAGGATCCTATTTTAACAATAGACAATTCACTTCCTCTATTTAACACCTTAGAGAAAAGACTTACTCAACATTTAACCACACCTCTTCTCCAAAGACTAATTTAAGGCGGTTTTGCCACGCGGTATTTGCACTGTTTGACGGGACTTGCATCCTACCACTTTATAAGACAACCAAAGTTATCACCCCAAAAATGGGGAAACTAACCATTCTTATAGGAGGGGAAACCCTATTACAGATTTAGGCAAAAGTAGAAAAGCCACAAGTAAGTTATACATCCATGCCCTCCTTTTTTTCCTTGGGAATTTTGTGCTCTCTCTTTCTCTCTTTGTCAGGTACCGTCTCCAAAGTTAAAAGAGACAGTTTTGGACGAATTTCCTATCTGTTTCTTTTAAGATTATGAATTATAGCTACCACATCCATTCCATTCCATTTCTTGTTTCAAAAGCTTTCACCCGCACATAAAAAAATGGGAAACAAACCATTCTTGAAGGGGAGATAACTCTCTATAACAAATTAGGCAAAAGTGAAAGAACCCTTCTGATAGAAAAGCCACAAGTATAAGTGATAGCCATTATGGATATCTTTTCAAAAAAGAAAAGGAAAAGGGAATATTCCAGGAGGAAAAAAGGCTGGCAGGGGATCTCATGCTCGCTGCATCTTTCATCATCAGAATTCAGAACAGCCGTGGCCTCAAACACAGATCCTTTGGGATCCTGGCCACATATTTTATTCTCCATCTGGGGCCTCTTCTTGCTCTGAAGTCTGAATTGAGCTGCTGGCTGTGGCCTGTGGCCTGAGAGCATTCTCAGACGAGAGGCAGGGAAGCCAGCAGCAGGACGCAGGGCTCCTTTTGGCATGACGGCTAGGGGCTACGGCCGGCCCTCCTTGTCCTTGTGGTTGTGGCTCACATCCCTCCCTTGGCTAACCACCATTTCTGTCTGCTCTCCTAGCATCATTGCCTCACTTAACTCCTCTACACTGACATAATGGTGCCAGCAGTTTTCTGCATCATCTAGATCATGCTTGACAAGGCAGCCGTATCATGTAGGCCCTGTTTGGAACACTGAAATTTTTCTCATTTTTATGATTTTCTGTGAAACTAGACTGGTTTTGAAAAATTTCCGTATGGTTTCTGTGAAATTCCTGCTTTCCGGACGGAACCGTATTGATTTGGTGGAAATGGATCTTTATGAAACTATATATGTTGGAAATTAGTTGTTAAGAGATGGGAAATTTTGTCGATGAATCTGTATGTGCCAAGGCTGATGATGTAGGTGTAGGCGCTTAAAACATTTGTGTGCTAGAAAACACTGATGCGGCTAACTGTGACGCGATCATGGAATGATCAGTGGCGATTGCGCTTTTGGTAGTCTTACAAGATTCTTTTTAAAAGCAGAAAGGTTGCGCATTGGGAGAATAATGTCAGCAACGACTAGTCTGCTCGCATCTTCAGACTTCAGGTGTTTCACAGAAACACAGGTCTTGCTTTTTCAGTCCGTCCAGGCAGAAATGGGCCGGCAGCTGATGATCACTAGTGCTAGTCTTTGGCTGCTGGATTTGCTTGGAAATAAAACAGAAATGACAAATCACTGTGCGTTCTCATTTCTTGGCAGCTGATGATCACTAGTCATATGCTGCTTATTGATGCTGTAGTGTCTCTTTTTTTCAAGGAGAGAGAGAGAGAGAGAGACTTTTGTCAGCTATGCTGCATGAAACTAAAACCAAAATGAAGACATATATCACCACAGTTTATAGAACATTATCTGAAAATGAATAGATAACAAGCTCCTCTAACTCTTGACTGTTTAAATTTTAATACAAACATTTTGCTCAAACCTGCAAAAAAAAGTTTAGCACGCTGCTGATGTTTTTCCAAAAAGAAGGGCACGCACATTCATTTTCATACGTCTTGTACTACTACTAGTACTAGTTGCGATGATCAATGTTGCCCAAGAAGACGCCCCACTTGGGCTCGGCGGCCTGCACGGAGCCGGCGCCGGCGGCGGGCACGTCGACGGTGACCTCCCCCTCGGCGGCCTTCCCGCCGCTGGCGATGGCCGGGACCCCGGCGCGCTCGACGACGGGCCCCGCCGTCGTGTCGCCGCCGCCGCCGAGGGAGATCGGCAGCCGTGGCCTGACCTGCAGCGGGTTGAACAGCGACGCCCACAGGCTGAGCTGCTCCTGCCTTGTGGCGCCCACGTACGGCGGCACGAGCGCCGGGATCCCCCCGCCGCCGCCGCCGCTGGGGCCCGCGAACGCGTGCTGCGTGCCGGGGACCGGGAGCCACGGCATCGACGCGCCGCCCAGCGGGAACACCACTGGCGGGAACCGAAGCCCGCTCGCCAGCGCGCTCGCCGCCGGCACCTGCACCGGCACCGGCATGGACATCGGCAGCCACTTCGCCTCGCCGAGAGCGTCCCCGCCTCCCGGCCACCTGGCGGCCTCAGGCGCCTCCGCGTCCGCCACGTCGAGCACCGCCTCCTCCACCTCTTGCAGGCGCCTCGCCGCGGCCCCGCACCTCCCTTCGTGCGCAGCAACCAGGCAGAGCGCCGCGGCGACGAGGGCGGCCAGGCGGCAGCGGCCACGATGGCGGCGGTCCATCGGCGGTTGCTGCTGCTAGAGGCTGGTTTCTTGGCACGGCGTTCGTCGACGTGGTGCTGCACGGCGGAGGGCATCTCGATCGGTGCCTTTTATATCCCAAGCCATGGCCCATGGGGAGGTTTAGGTAGGGGTTCGTCGGAGACATGCACGATGGACGCGTGCATCCATTCGACGCCACGCCATGGTGCATTGGTGCTCGAACTTGCTCTCCTACTCGCCTCCTAGCTGCTGCATGCAGTGTTGACCAAGGCTGATGCTGGACTTGCAGCGTTACTTGACGTCTGTTCAGTTAGGCCATGCAATGCCCATGTCATTTCGTTTTTACAGTTTTACTGTCCGAACAACCATCAGTAGAGCGGGTAATTAAGGTCGTATACACGTATTGATGCAGCTTGTAATGCGGGGGTAAACTTAAAGCTGCTGCAGGTAAACACACACAACCTAGGCGTGAGAAGTCGTGCCGTACACTATTCATTAGCTGAACAGTCTCAACACATCAACAAGCACTGCGTTACCAGATCAGAAACATCACGCCAAAATTTGCCAGTTTTGCTGTCAGGATTACATGTCAAGCTGAGAAGAAAACAAAATTGTTGCCATCAGTAGGCTGACCGTCTGAGTATCGCTGCAAAATGAGCTTGGATTCAGCCGCTGTCCTCGCGGGCGTGTGATTTCTTTAACCAACCTCATCTCTGAAGTACCTTGTGCCTTTGTGGGCAGGCATCGATAGCTTTCAGCTCAGTGGATTTCTAACCGCATTTCCATTTTGCGACTCGCAAGTATACCATTGTATGAGGGGGCAGTTCTAGGATGCCTCACTCGTTTCCAACTGGCCGCTTCTCCAGCAACGATGACAAGAACGCGGAACATAGTTTTGTGAGAGGCGGAAGAACATGAGACGATCCACTGAAAATGGTCTCCCAAGGCCTGTCTGAAGGGATGAATGGAACACCTGAGACCTCTTTCTTTGACTCCAGTTTTTGAAGCTCTCCATAAATAGAAGCGTAGCCGATTGGTGCTGAAACAACAGACGAGGTTCAGCACTTTTACGAAGTAGAAAGGAAATGGGAGAAAATCATTTTTGCACAAGGTACAAATCAACAAAAATCCTGCAAACAGCTTCTGGAAAGCACAAACACATAACAAGCTGACATACTGATAGTGCATTGATACTATGTTTTGTTTGTTTACCAAAAATACCATCTGACTAACAGTTGCAAGTAACAAGGATTGTGCAGTCAGGACAATAGGTGAAAAAGTAGGCAGTGAAATATAAAAAGAATGCATTCAAGAACTATGTAACAAACCATACAATACTCACCAGGTTCCTCAGCTTGAATCTTCTTGTGCGTGTTCTTGCTAACGACCACCTCCTCACTCTTCCGGGGATCAAAGATAACGTATTCATGAGAACCATTTACATAAACCAGCAACACTGCCTCTTTGTCTCTCGAACTATCAGCATTTGCATCCAAAGAGACGTCACCTTTTACAAAAGAAATGCTGCCACCCGATGCCTGAAAAAAAGTGACATTAACAAGAGCTGTCATTATCATTATGGTCCCTGGTCCATTGTGTGCTATCTAATAATACATGCAGCAAGAAATAAACAAACACGAATTTAAATAGAGAACTAAATGAATGAATAAGCAACTAAACATACTATGCTATCTAGCAATACAAGTACAAACCTGACAATATTTAAAAATACCAAGAGCAAAATAAGTTCCTTAAAGTACATCTCGATAGAGCAATATCCCCAAACAAGTTGAGATGAGCAATGTCCCCAAACAAGTTGAGATGACAAAATCAATAACTAAGATGGGACGTACCTTCTTTACCGACCAGGAGGCAATGGGGTTTGGGCTTTCTGCATCAAAAAGTAGAATTACTCCGTCTTGCTGTGTTGATGTTTCTCCATCAGGACAGCTCAGAAGAGCAAGAACAGCAAATTCATTCCCATCTGGAGAGCAGCATGCAGCTGTACAAAGAAAATACAACTATGAAAATGAGAATGAGATCAAATGTGCTCGCTCACTGACAATAAATTAGTTTTCACAACCCCAACTGTCAGACAACACTTTAGAACACTAATACAGAGGACCAGCTCTACTGAGGTAATAACATTCAAATGTAACAGCAGCTTAAATGAGTTACTAGATTGTAATTTGGCAGCCTTTGAGGTTGGCCAGATTCATCACGGTGATCATGCATTCATGCTGAAATTGAATTAGACAGGGAAGGAGCAACAACAAATGTATCACAGATGTCAGGTAATCTTATGTGCTTCTGTTCCTCTGTAAGCTCAAATAAGGAACATGATCCACATGCAAGCATCAGAACTACAAATTGTGTTCTCAATACGACAAACACAAAAATGCCTTGTAAAAGATGCAGGGCCAGAAAGTATTGACTTAGCATAAATTATGCTACTATCATAGTTTGTACCTTCTGCATAAATGCTGTAAGACCATTGCATGGAAAGATTTGAAACATTCCATAGAGCAATTTGGGGTCTCGAACTCTGACATAGAGACATCAAAAACACCGATGTCCCAACGAAAGAAAGATTTGTCACTGGCTGCAGATACAATAAATGACACATCAAACTGCTATTCTAAGGCAGAGGTAAAACATAAAAAATATGTCAAGGAATTATCAGATACCGATAGTGTTTCTGCAATGACACCAACAAGCGCGTTATTATCAGGATCCCACAATGTGATGACATTCTCGGCTGCAACTGCAAGAACAGATCCATCGGCTGAGAAGGCTGCTGATGTCATAGGTTTCTTCCTGCAAAATTTTAAACGCTCCAATATCATATGATGGAAGACTAAATGCATGTATGACTATTTTAGTGCTTTCTAATCATCAAACATTAACAGATATTGTTCAAACGTAAACAGATTCACAACTCACTTGTATGAGCCCACTGATTGGCATCTCCAACCAGAACAATTTCTTTCATCACTTGATTGTGAAGACAAACTCTGGACCCAAACCTACATAACAGAAAGACAGAACTTATGAATTGAGGAAACAGAGCATCCTCTCCAAGGTAACAGCCATGCACACCTTAAAGTTACCACCAAAAGAAGAGCTCACAGCCATATTCCTTCCAGGACGGAAAGCAACAGAAGAAACCCCAGCATCACTGTATGAAAGATTAAATATAAAAGTTAGAACAAATCATACTTTCATTTTGTATCTATCAGCAGCCTTATAAACATTAACCAACCTGTGAGGCTCATAAATGATGGTAGACAAACAATAATGTCCAGCTCTAGACCCATGATTCCAAAATTTCAGTGTAACAAGACCACCTAATTCTTCTTCAGGAAGCTTGACATCCACAGTGCACATCAAATTGCCATCGATTGACAATGAAACCAAGGAAATGTACATCTGTATCAAAGGGAAAAAATGGAACATGTCAAAAGCTAAGGTTAAATTCTGAATACAAAACAAGAAGAACAAATTATTCAAGCATGGTAACTAGTAGAAATTTATTTTTGCTGCAACAGGGCAACCAAAAGTAATTAAGGAGTGGTGCCAAATGTTTGGCACATGTAAAGAGAGAGATAAACAAAGAAAAAAAAACTTTGTGACTAAAAATAAACACGTGAAAAGGAGGTATCTTACCGTGATATCATCATTAGGCTGAAAATTCCTCTCACATACTTGCATCTGAAAAGATTAACAATGTTATGGTTAGTTTCAGTAAAAATGCCAATCATGCGAAACACCCACCAATTGATATACTGCCCAAAGGAGGATGGAGTAAACATGAGAACTTAATTCGCTTACCTCTGAAACCTCAGCGTTCTCAAACAAATTGTAGAACTGTATGCAGTAATCTTCCGTTGGTATAGCAACAAGTCTATTAGTATAATCAAATCCATACACAGCTCGATCAGCTCCACCCAAGTTCGGGGAAGCAACTGGCAGCTAAAGAGAAAAATACAGGGAAAGATCACCACAAGATCATGACCATACAATAAAATTACATTTCATTAGAAAGAAGGAAAGGCAGAAACAGTAAAATCACAATGCATTTTTTTTTGGGGGGGGGGGGCGCTGCATATATATTACAAACCTTGATTCCAGCAATAGATCTCATGACCTCCATATTAGGCATTTTTAGGAGATGTACTTGATTATTTGTACATGACACCTGAAATATGAACAACAGCTAACATTCACACAGGGGGCAGGAAAATAAACAGACCATATCAAAGATGCAGCTTGCAACACAGTCATGACTCATGAGTAACTTAGCCAGTCCTATATCAGAAATAATTTATGAATCATTCTAGAACAATTATATATGAAAGCAGGGCCATATTTTACTTCTCTGCCAGCTCTAATAAAAACTATTTAACCATTTCTTTATACTAAGGCATACATGCATATCTTTAGTGATGTTAACCATAGTTAAATTTCACAGCACTAGCAGGCATTCACTCAACAATCTGGAAGCTGTCAACATTCTTGCATAGGATACTCACACAAACAACTTGTTTTATAAGTTACCTTTTTCTTGTATGGCGAAGCAAGCAGGAAACAGACTTAAATCAGTAATTACTCGCATATTCGTGTAGCAAGGGAAAATAAGGGGTCACAAATGGTCATTTCAACTATTAATCTTCAATATAGAAAACTGCCTAGTGATCAAAGCATAGATGCAGGTTTTACTAGAATATTATTTCAAGCAAATTCAGGGGGTAAACTATGGAGGGAACTTGAAATTATTTATCTAAACTATAATGCATAAGAAAGCAAGGAATAGTAACAGTATGAGATCCATGCATGACAGTATATAATAAACTTGTTAATGTATTTCTCTCTACTCTAGACTTGGGCATCTGGTGGTCTCACTTATGTACTATTATTATTTTGATTCTAATTGATTAGTGACATGACATCTGCGCAATGCTGGAACATTAATTAAGCACTAAACTCATGTGGCATTCTGGAATACAGTTACCAAAAACTTC